TTTCATCTGAAACAAGGAAAAACTACACAGTACAATATAGAAACTGAATTTGGAAATACAAATCAAGCAAATATTGGGTTACACGTTTCTCACAGCTGGTGTTATATGTAGGAAGGAAAGTGTAGCAATCTAGTGCCTAACTACATTACTTTTACACTAACTACAATATGAAATACTCTTTTTAAAGTTAACAGTAATTGGTTACTTAATCTAACAATATTAATTACAGGGTGCAAGTGACAATCTTCCTTATAGCACTTCAATCATTAGTACTGACTTCACATGACAAAGGGGCTACACTCCAAAAGCCTGTTTTCAAATAAACCTGTTGGACTATAACCTAATGTGTGATTTCTGACCTTGTCCACCCCAGTCTAACACTAGCACCTCCACATCATCATTAACATTAGAACATTTCAGTGATTTCACAGCTGATTCTCAAAACACAGCAAAAAAAAAGGTAATCTACACATCGTTTAAACATCACTGGGTCAGACTGCCATATTCAGGAGCTTCTTAACTTTAAAGTTTTTTTTCTTAAAAAACCAAGACATCTATTTAGAACTTTTGATCAGCTATAGGTAAGAGGAATTGTAAAAAGGTGCCCAATTTCTTCTCCTTTCTTTCTGCTATGATATGCAGGCTATTCAATCTTATTAATGGGCCTGTTGAATGACTGACATAACATGTTCCCAGTTCCATGCATGACTAACATGGAGAGACCCATCGTTACAACCTGTGTCACAGTTTAATCACCTGCCTTCTCAAACACAAACACATTCTTAAAATGGGCGTTATATACAATGTGTATTAGAATGAGATATCGAATTAAATGCTGAATTTATTCCATGGAGTAAAATGGCAACACGGGATTCCTTCTCCATAGACGTAAAACATTTGCAGATTAAAAATCTGAAAAAAATTTGTTCAATGCACAAATCGTAAAAAAAAAAACTTACATTTCAAGGTACAAATTTTGGCCCTGACGATCTTATAGAAGGGAGACTGGGAGGTAAAAGTGGAAGGGCCAGTTGTTCGGTAACGTGGGCGCCAAGCAACACCATATCTGTTAAATGCAACCCTGCACCTAACTGCAAACTAATCGAGGGCTCAACGTGCTTAGGAAGTGCAGATACCACCGTGCCGCCCGGCATGAGCAAGAAGGGCCTGCAAAACTACACCACACTTATCTGACGAATCACACCTGGCTATTTCATTAGCTGCCCCAACACAACAGGGGGAGGAGGCAACAGCAGCAGAAGCGGCGGCGGCAACAACAACCACCACCACTACGGTGCAAGTGATTGGAAGAGTCGCTGCGTGTAGAAAGAAAAGTACGGGGCGCTCACCAGCTTGGTTTTGTTTCTTGGGTCTTCTTCGGGAGGTTTCTTCTTCGAGGAGGACCTGTCAGACCTGTCCCGGCTGCGAGGAGGCGATTCGTTTCCGGCAGCCGGCGGCTGCCCGTCCATGTTGGAGCGGTTGACGGAGGATCCGGGCTCCCCCGGGAAGCTAGTTCTTTATCTACAGGTGTCGCTGCTGGGCGGCAGCGGCCCGGCCGAACATCGCACGCTCACAAATCCTCCTTGGTCCGCTCTCACACCAACGTCTCTTCTGCCTCTCCTTTTTTTATGGTTCTTGTGTTTAAATCTTAAATCCACGGCTCCTGCTCCCAAAATTTAAATAAAAACCCGTTTTACTTTCTTAATCACGTTGATAACCAGCAGTATTCCCCAAGTTCAATGCCCTCCAGCCATAAGCTAAGGGACGGACACACCACTACCTTCCCCTTCTCCGTCTGTCAACGGTTGGTTCCTTTCACACCCACACCCCAAGGCGCAGGCGCCGGGCCGCGCCCCGCTGCCGCCAGCCTCCCTCCGGTTGGCTGAGCACGACGCCAATCACACCCATTCCCGACCCCCAACTTCGGATGGTTACGTCAGCGGGTTCCTCCGGGGTGACGTCAGGCCGGGCCTGACTGATTGCCACATGTGTGCAGCTCTGAGTGGGTCACGGAAGAGGTGAGGATTCCATTCTGAACAATTGCCAAGAGACATATACATACACATACACACACATAGTAAATAGTGTTAAATTATTCAGAGGGAAGACGCTCTCTCTCTCGCTGTCAAATTCTTTTTTTTCTTAAGTTTATGTCCTTGCATTGAGATACTAGCAATGTCTAAAAATAGTAGTGGAAGCAAATTCATGAGAAACACTCAAAAGGCAACTCTGACTTCACTTATAAGGAACAGTGTGGTGAAAATCAAAGCAGGAATCAGGGAGCTGGTTGGCTTAATGGTATTGTCGCTGGGCTAGTAATCCAACAGCTTAGGTT